ACTTTAACATGAAGTTTATACTTATGAAAATTATGGATATTTATTAAGGAAATATGATTATGGAACCTAGGGAACTACCATAGGATACATGTTTTGACTTAAAAAATCCATCGCCTAGGCGACAAGGTGACAAGGAAAGTCAAAAAATCCCTTGAAAACTGTGGCATCACCTAGGTGTATTGACCTGACAAGGAAAGTCAAAAACTAGGCATTGTTTAGGTGAGGGCAAGCAAAAATAAATAAATAAACATATTCATATTTTACAATATGTATATATATAATTACATAGAAGCATTATGTAATTATAAGCTACAAAATAAATCAGTAATCACAAACTTCCACTTGATTTTTCTAAAGAAACAAAATGATTTTTGAATATCCTCTTGGGCTCAAAACAAAGGACACACACACACACATGGATGATTAAGAGCCCTAATTTTTAGCTCTGCATGCACTCAAAATGGCCCAAATTGGGTTACACACTTGTATATTAAAGCACAATCAGTTATTTGCACCATAATGATGTTTATATCCATACCACCCGTTTAGTTTGTAATTAGGCAATTGACCTGCAAAATGCCTAGTCAACACCTAGGCTATACTTTGACTACACTTCTTTCTACCAATTCTATACTCTTATTACCTATTAAAGCTTTACAGTCCAAGTAGCTAATAGAGTTCTTATCTCTTCTTGGATAATTATTTATCCATCCTCATCCAATAAGTTGTGGGAAACTCTTGCTCATTTCTAGCCACAATCATCCATTATTGTTGTTACAGTGCATCACTTCTAGGTATTACTAGCAAGTAAGGAGCACAATAATGTATTATATTATTGGTTAATAAAACTTCAGTCCCCTTTATGGATGACTTTGTTGTTGTTTTCTACAAACTATTAATTATTTCCATTTTTAATTCATAAAAAGAAGTAAGTTTAGTGTCCAAGAACTTGTCACATAATTTCCAAGTATCCATAGTCACAATTCTTGTGTCAATTACCTGAGACAAGGAATTGTTTAATGCTGCTCCTCTATAGCTCACATGAAATTTATCTTTAGCTATCAATCCCTGTTTCACAATAGAAGATAAAGGGGGTTATTAACAGGAAAAGAAAACCCTAAAAGAACTATTTGAAGGCATACTTCTGTGTCAATCTCCGCTGATTCCACATTGACATTAATGTCAGCCATAATCTTAATGACCTCTAGTAGCAATCCAGGACGATCAGCTGTCTCCAAATAAAGCAAGCTGGAAAAATGAAAAATAAAATAAATAAATGGAAAAAAACTAGCAATAATGGAAAAAATCAAATAAATACTATGCTTGTCCTTGGACACCATGGTATATATAGTTTAGTTCCTCGCATAATGGTATTTTTGTACATGAACAAAGCAATAGCAATAGTTTTATTGAAAAGTAGCAAACCTTCTGTTAGGTCCATCATCCTTAACGTGTATATGTGTTGCAATATCAACATCAAGCTGCCAATAGAAAAATCAGTGTCAGGTAATTCCTATTGCTATGAGAAAAGGTCATAGAAGTAAATACCATATATCTAATTATATTTCAACTGCATGATAGAAGCCATTTTATCATAAGGACTTTTTGGGTGAATATGACTTTTTTTTATCAATAACAACAATTTCATTATTCAGTCTGTAAATATAGTACATAAAGGGAGACAAATTCTTAACTCCCCCTGTTGAGGCCAAAGCCCCAGACAAAGTCTGAAATTACAACTGAGCCTAAAATAACACTTTTCCTACCCACCCCCATCTTTGCTAACTCATCAGCAAATGGGTTAACAGATCTCTTCACCCATCTGAACATCACTTCCATGTCCTTGACCAGCCACTTAAACTTTTTTCCTTTCATTGCTATACCCCCATAGGCCAGCCTTATCTTCTTTCAGCCACCCTACTACCACCTCTGAATCCTCTTCAGTTACAGGTCTTCTGATATTCATTTCCTTTGGGTGAATATGACTTAAATGAGGGTATACAGAAAATGTGGGTCCTGTAAATCAACCAAATATGTATATTGAAAACATGAATATGATTAACAGAAAATTTTAAATGATAAATACATTCACAATTCAACGGTGCAGAAAACAGATATGCTATTGGCTATCTGCAACTTTTAAGGTTCCACAGAAGCTTATGCTGATTGATGTATCTAAAGTAACCTTGAATTACAATCAAGAACAATAAGGAACAACAACCTCGCCAAAGAAATCAAGACATGGATGTGTTTACAGCAGGTAAACATTTTCAATTGAAAGAAAATAGTTGTCTTACTTTATTTTTGCCATATTGAGACATGATTAACAGATTACTTCCAAATGTCACCATGAACTTGGCCCTTTTCTCAATTGCCTTGGGCTGTCAAGTGACTCAAAAGCATCCTCTAAGGAGTTTCCAAGCCCTTAATTTTAGTCATGTTGGTTGAATTTCTTCTTATAAAGCTATGAATAATTGAGTTGTTCTTAAAAGTAGTGGTCAATATACGTTATATTGACAACTACTTGGGTCAATATACCATTGTGCTGTGGTGTTTGAATGTCAAATTAGGGGAGCTACCTTTCCTTTACTTGGGTCTTCCGGTAAGGTCTAAAGCTGCTGTGGCAGAAATTGGATGCCAGTGATAGAAAGAGTGAAGAAGAGGCTGGAGAGTTGGAAAAGCAAAATATCTATCATTTCAAAGGGGGGG